GACGACGACGACGACGACGACGACGACGACGATGATGATGATGATGATGATGATGATGATGATTATGATTATGATGATCACTTAAACGCGGATGAGAGAGAGCGAGAGAGCGAAAGGGAGAGAGAAAGAGAGAGAGAGAGAGAAAGAGTGAATGTGTGGACATGTTGATTAAGCGTCGAGTATGTAGCGTTGAAGAAATAATCAATTCCTCCCAGAGGAAGATCGTCGAGTGAGGCGTGTATCGTTCGCGTGCTCGTCGGCCGAGTATCGCAGGGGAGGAACATGTATCCGTCGAGCAGCAATGTTTTAAGTCCGCGCGTGCACGGATCTTTAATTGTAAGTAGGTGTAGATTGACGCGAGCAACAAGGGGTTCCTAACGCAATTTTGTCCAGACGGTTCGCGAACGTCCAATGGAGAGTACGAGGAGCGATTTTTTTTTTTTTTTTTATCAAAGAGAAGAGATTGGTAAAGGATCGAAAAAAAGGAAAAAGAGAGAGAGAGAGAAAATGGGAGAGAATCGCGCTCGTACGCGTCCTGGGAGACGAATCGCATCGGGTATGCAATAACTTTGTTGCGGACCGATCGACGACCGAGAGGCGACTCTTTTTTGCCGATATATATTTGTTTCTTCTTTTTTTTTTTTTTTCATGCATCAAGGATGGATTCCCCTTTTTTTATTCTCGCGAGCAATTGGAACCAATCTTGGCGATCTTTGTTTTGTTTTTTTTTTTTTTTTCCTATGATTGATCACGTTTTATTTAACACGTTTATCGAACCGTCGAGAGAAAGGGGATCGTCACTCGGGACTTCCTCCCCTCCCCCCTCCGAATTTCGAATATCACGTTTCTAGACGTAAATCACATGATCATCCTGTCGTTATTTATTGGCAGAACCGAACCAATGCTCAAGCGATGCTGTTGGTTTAAAAGAAAAAAAGAAAGGGAGAAAAAAAAAAAAATGAATAAAAAAAAAAGCTGAAGAAACCAAGATTTTCTTTACCCGTCTGTACCTATAGGCCTGTAATATTAACTTCGTGTATGTGCAGTGGAGTATAAAAAATAATAAAGAATACACACTTTTTATATGCACGAGTTTTTTATATATTCATTCATATTTTCGTCGATAAATTTTGATCGGGGATATGATAACCTCGAAATCTTACGAAACTTAAAGTGTTTCGTGTTTAATAAAATTTTCGAAACATAGATGAAAGATAATTTGTAAATAGTCTCTGAGGATGTCGTGATTGTAGAAATTTTTTATTTATAATATTATATTGGTTTATAGGACAAAATAAGAAAAAATAAATTTTTAAATAAAAGTTTAATTTTTCGCAAGTTAAACAAATGGATAGTGTTAGCAGTTGCAAATTTAAGTTTTTAAAGATCAAAATTTAATTCTTGACAAAATAAATATCTCAAAAGAAAAAAGAGAAAAAAATAAATTCAAGATATTTTAAGAATTAAATCTATTTAATCTATTTTTGCTTTGTTGAAAAAAGGTAAGAAAAATAGCATTATTTCATTACATATAGAATAAAATATAGAGAAACAATTAGAGAGACACATACTTTTCTATTATTCATAATTTCTAGTAAACAAAAGTTATTTTTTAATAATGTTTAAATTTCTTAAATGAATTTGATTAAAAAGATTTTTTTTATTTAGAAATGATTATTTTTATTGATTATTTATAAGTTCCTATTCGGTAATTTAAATAATTTTTATAGCAATTTAATTGTTTTTAGCGAATTATATTTTTTATTACATGAAAAATGTAATTTTGAGAAGAAATTGTAATTAAATTTGTAATATAAAATAAACGAAAAAATTGTCATAATTGATGAAATAATAAAACTAAAAATTAAAATTTCACAATTCTTATTATAATAGCATCTAAAAAATTAATTTTATTAAAGCTATAGTTTACATACGAAATTTAAATAAAATAAAGACAAAGTTTTTTTCACTATTACAAAATGATAATATTATTCTGATTTTTTCACATTTTGATGTGTCATCTGTAATCGATTATATATATAACATAACTAAGTAAATTGAAAGGAATTAAAAACGAAACTCGACCAACTATATCGATTAATCGATCGATTGCGTGATGATCAGTGACCAACTTCGACCAATACAATAAAATAATCGCGAGAAAAAGTTTGGAAAATGACAAACCTGGATATTTCCAATTATCCAGGATAGAAGGACGAGTCGATAGGCGGTCGAGGCACCAAATAAAGAAGGATGGGCGATATTCTGCGAAATTGGATACAAGCTAGGCTAGGAATCTTGACGGACCTACGCCCCGAAGTGTTCGGTTATTATACCAGAGACGGCTCGCTTTTGGCTCAAATTTTGCACAGTTACGACATAATAACCCAAGATCAATTGGATATGATCATCGTCACCCAAGATCCCGCCCTGTGCCGAGTCAATTTGAGACATCTCAGTTTTTGGCTACGGTTCGTGACTATCAACATGGACGAGGATTTGATCGAGGAGATCTCGTGCGGCAAAGGGAGCACGTCTCTCCGCCTGTTCTACAAAGTGTATCTTTGCCTTGAGAGCAAGGACAGATTGCACTTTATCACGCTTCAAAAAGAGAGGGAAAAATTCGTACCCACGTCGAAGAAGTTCGATGTGATCAGAGTTTGCGAGGATCCGCCACCTTATTATCCATCGGAAAATAAATTGTCGAAGAAACTGGTGAAAGGGAAGGACGTGATCTATTGGCATCAGCAAAAAGTTCCAAAGATGCTTCGATCGTACATCAAAAAAAAAAACATTGGAGTTGTGGAGTCGAAATACGTAAACGAGCTGTGTTCCGATTTCGAGGTATCTACCAGCCCCTAGCTAGAAAGATTCGCGTGACAGGAGTCTCGCGTCCAGGTACTCATGCTTACGCGAGTTTTTTTTTTTTTGTCTCTCTGTGAGAAGAGGGGGGTGTGGGGGTAAGATGAGGATCCAAAGTGAAAATAAATGTTTCTTATAGAAAAAATATTATTTTAATATTATAATTGTATATGTTTTAAAATTCTGTTTTAAAAACAAAGGAAACGTGCTTTGATATTTTGTTAAATTATTACATTTTAAATATTTGTTTCTACGATGCATAATCTTTATTTTTCGTTTAATTATACATGAATAAATAATTTTGTGAGAATTTTTTGAATTTTTTGAAAATTAAATATTATATTATATTAATAATTAAATTAGTAATAATTTTAACTTTAGTTGTAATTTTGTGATATTATGATTGATAATTGAAAAATACACATATTGTAAAACATATTCACCATCTTACCCCTCTCATTTTACGTTATATGGATAAATAATATTAAATATATTTTGATTAATAATATTCCGAAATAAAATTGGAACATTAAATTATTTTAAAATATTTTTAATTAATATTAGATATTTAATTGTGTTAAATTTAAATTTTTTAAAAAATTTGACCGCGTACAATATATTTTTATACAATAACCTGTTTACTAGTTTGTAAATTAAATATTTACAAACCATATTTATTGAATTAAAATTTTTTATTATATTATTATATTTATAATTTAATACAGCGATTCTTACTTTTTTCCATTTCATAAACTATAAATTAAAATTTTATGATTCTATACAAAAATAATAATGCATATGAGCGATAAAAGGAAAAAAAAATTGTTATTTGTCGTCTTATCTCGATCTCTCTTAGACAACAAAAGAGGATCAACAAAAGAACGAGAGCAAAGAATTGGATGAATTCACTATGAAACATTTAATTCCAAAAAAAAAATTGGAAAGGGAAGAGGAAGAATCTGAAGAAGATTTAAAACCGATCGGGGACGATCCTGATATGGCGAAATCATACATCGAATGGTTGAAGAATCGCAGGAAACAAAAATTGACTTCATCCGCTCTCAAATCGAAGATGCAGAAATCTATAATCTCGGAATTGTGGGAAAGAATGTCGGAAAAGCAAGAGAGAACTTTCGACGAGGAACTGGCGAAACGAGTGTTGGATCAATCAAGGTACGAATAGTAATGGAATTTGAAACACTTCGAATTAGTTTAAATCTGTATTCTGTATCTATAAGATATCTAAAAAAATATAAAAATATAGTTTAATTGAAGTTTCTTTTGAAACAACTTTTTACTTTGCAAAAATTTTTGTTTCGATTTTTAATAATGAGTTATTACGAGTCTTGATACATTTAAAAATATTGAGAGATTCGTTATAATTTTAAAAATTCAATATTTTAAGTATTTTTATCAATTTTGTTTAATAAATATTATTAATAAAAGAAATTAAAAGAAATCTAAAAAGAAAATTAGAATTGGCATAATTTTATAATTTTTTGTTAGCATAATTTAATAATTTATAACATATAAATTATTACAATTAATATTATGAATGTTAATATTTGAATCATTCAGAAATACAATTGATTAATTTCATTTTTTGAAATTAATTTTAAATTTTGCCGCTAAAATATTGATTTAATAATGATTAATGTTAAATGCTAAAATATTTATATAAATATATTTGAATTGATTTCTATACAGTTTATTAGAGAAAATAAATAATATAGATAAGAATATTAATATTATAAAAAAGAATTTCTAATAATTCGGATAAAATTTCTGAAAAAATTACAACACAAAAAACGTATAATGTAACAATAATAATTTTTTTGTTAGTATAGAGTTTTTAGATTTCAATTTTTATTTTTTTAAATTGCATGCCATTTTTTATTATTAAAAATATAAAGGATTTTTAAAGTAATAAATAAACAAAGTTATTTATATTAAATTATAACAAATTATTTTTTCATTATTATTAAATGATCAAATGCAATAGAAATTATTTAATTCTAAAAATTCTTTATATTATATATAATAAAAAATCAAGATTCTAATTTAGTTTCAATTTAAATTTCAATTTAAAACAAATACAAATAAATTTGAAATTTCTGAAAATTCTCCACTCCAAAAAAAGTTATTATTGTCATACTATATCTTTCCGCACATGAATATGCGGTGAATATTAAATATAATATAAAAATGTTTAAAAGTTATCGCGATCGATTAACAAATCGATTCGTAGTATCAATTACCGCCGTTAGGTGGCTTCAAACATCTCGCAATTCTCATTAGCATTTTGTATACCATCAGGTATAACCATTGAATCAGATATATAAACATTGGGGTTTAGAACTTTTGAGTTAATGCCACTTTGATTCGGAAAAAAGTAGAAAGAGAAAAGCCAAATGTTGACAATCAATTGAAAATTTTGCAATTGTCTTTGTTCCTAATCTACTTTTTTTCAAATGTGAAGTTAAATCCAAATGTATCTAAACCTTCAGAAACAAACAACAGAATGAAACAAATAATTATTTCTGTATCAAAATGTATATCAATTTTGTATTTTCGATTCAATTGAATTCTTCATTATCGATATTCAAGTCAAATACCATTGTTTATCCAATAATGATTGCATCTTGCGTGAAAACGAAGTTCGGATATGTTTGTAAGTATTAATATATTATAAACTTATATATATAATATATTATAAGTTTATAAGTATTAATATATAATAAAAATTCAATAGAGTTTTTGAAAAATCGACAAAGATGTAATAAAAATCTGATGGATTACATTGATATGTAAATAAAAAAATATGGCTAGATGATAGTTTTTCTCATACTGCTACATTATGAAGGCATATCACGTGACACCATGCTTGGTGAAAACTTGGTCACGTAATATACTTAATGTGATAATGTGGCATCACATTATTCTTTTGCGGAAAATTGTCACGGGGAAATTACTACTTTAGTAGACGGAATATAGCAATTCTGTTTATTTATTAATAAGTACAAAATATATATCATTGTCAATTTGAATCACAAATAATTGAAGCCGAATTGAACAAGGAAGTAATGAAAAAGGAATTTTTAATCACGAATGAGATTTTATTATTTATTTATTTAGTAATGTCACTATTCATAATATTTTGGATGCCGAAAATTCGATTGAAATTTATTTATTAAGTTATATAAGCAATTTAAGTTCGTGTTAGATGAAGCGAAAAAAATAAAGCATCATAATAAAACAATAGAGACAGAGAGCTTTATTTTGCTTCGTTCAACAGAAACTTTAATCGTTTTATAATAAATAAATCTCAATTGAAATTTTTGTATACTAACTTTTATATTTCTTTTGGCTTAATTGAGTTTTTAAAGATCTTTTAAATTTTTCCATATATTATTGTATATATATGTAATATAATAGTAGAGACTTATATCATAGTTATAGCAGATAAATGTTCTATAATTGACAACGATTTCTATTATCGTCAAATATTTATTTAATAACAAGATTTTATTCAAAGAAACATATTTTAATTTATTATTATTTTTTTTTATAAATTTTAATTAAATTATGGATATATTATAATTTGAAAATTTATAAAATTTTCTTTTTCTATATTATTTTATTTTCTTTTTCTCTACATAAATATATCTACAAATAAATTATATTTCCAAACTATAAAAATGAATAATATAAATGAATCTATTTGTAATAATTCCAATTTTTCTTCAGATTTTTTAAAATATTTTATGTCAATGAATATGTCAATGTTCGAATAAAAATAATAAAATACTTTAGACAATTATTTATTATTATATAATAATAATAATAATATAAATAACATGTTCCATTTTTAATAATCAATAATTTTTTAAATAATAACGATCAATAGTTAAAATCTCTTTAAGTTTATTCAAGAGATTGTTTTTGATATAGTCGATTCATCGAAGTTTTTCCTCTACATTGAATATAATTATTAATACATCTAAGATATCGAATGTTCATAAAAAATTTACCGAATCTCTCAATATTTTAACAAATAAAAAAACTTTCAAGACTTACAATACAATTATAATTAAAATCATCATCAAAAGACCTTTTAGAAAGATTTATAGAATCATTTCGAAGTAATCGAATTTCCACAATTTTAAAAATTCAAAACGGTTTCGAAAAATTCCGAATTCCAATCATTGTAGATACGAGAAGCAAATCATGACGAAACTGTGCGAGATACGCGAGCAAAAGAACATCATGGCCGAGAATCAAAGGGTCGTGGAGGATATCATTTTACACGCGACCGAGATGGAGGATCGCGCGAAACACTATCGTTCTATCGATCTGGTCACTTCGAACGAGAAAGATATGAAAATCGAGTGTCAAAGAATGTGCGAGTTGCGTCAAAGATTACACGAAATGAAGATAGAAAAAATACGAAAGAAGCATTGGTCACTTTGTCAAAAAGTGATCGATGATTTGCTGATCATCGCGTTCAACATATGCGAACATCGGCAATTGAACAATGGGCAGGTACCACTCACGCTTATCAGCGAATGGAGGCGCTTATTTCTCAAATCTGAGCCGATCGTCGAGAAAAAGGTACCTTTCGATCTAGATACCTCGAAGCGCGAGCTGGAAACATTCATCAAAGCGGACGACTGGAGCAAACATATCAAGGTTAGGTTGAAATAAGTTATTTTTATATTTATCTATTTTTTTTTCTTATCAATCGATAGATTTTGAAATTGATTAACAGAATCGAAAAATAGCAGTTTTTAATTTTAAAAATTTATATATATATAATACATAATACAGTAATGATAACAAACAGATTTTAACTAAAAAAAAAATTTCTGTATTTAATTATCTTTCATATTATATATATAATAATGACATTTACAAATACATCACTAACGAAGTGTTTAAATAGAAAAAGAATTTCTATACTCAACTGCTTTCTTTATTTTTTTTTCTGATATTATAATTGAAATTAAAATTATAAACTAAGATCGATTCCAATCCGATTTTAATATTTAAAATATTAAGATAAGGCAATTAAATGTATTATATGTCTTTTTTACAAATTACAGTGAAGGAAAAAAAATTTACTCTCTTATACATAGCTATTATGTTTTCAATACTTTCTTACTTTCTTCTTTCAACGTGTATTAGGTGGTGATAGAATATCCT